CCCCGGAGAGCAGTTCGGTGTTTACATATATGTTATGGCAGCAGGGTCGCCAACACTCTGTTCCACGAATACGAATTCATAAGATTATTTTCATACATAATATGTAATAAGTAGAGAATGCTGTCTTTTTGTCATATCAGGCTCAATATTTTTTTGGACTAGCTTGAAGCGTATTGCATTGCATTATCAGAGAAATTAGTTCCCGAACATGATGATACGATGTTTAAAATGAACAATGAATCGCCACAAGATAGGTAAGTAGTGGGTACTTAATGTTCGTTCTTTGTTTTCTTTTCTTCTTTTTTTTTTTTGTTTTGTATTTAGTTTGAATTTTTTATTTATTTATTTATTTATTTTTTTTTTATACTTTCCATCTGTGTGTATTACAACGTTCGTAGATAATCGACTATACGCCCCTTTGTATTTTTATTGTTATGCACAAACAAAGGCTTCTTGCTTCTTGCTTCTTGCTTGGCATATCCATGCATACAGGTATATGTATGTATGTAGATATTGCAAGATTAACACGCATTCAATTTATTTTATGCGATGTATATATATATTGGTGATATTAGCTTTGAACATATTTTCACAATTTTTTTAATTGTTATTCATATGTTAGGTAAATTATGTACGGGACCCTGGTGTGTAATTATTTTATTATATATATAAATATATATATATGTGTGTGCGTGTGTATAATATATATCATAATAAAAATTTTCGCTACTAAGTTAAAAAATGTAATTTGTTTTTAATAATTAAATTTTTTTTTGTTTACTAATAATAATAACAACAACAATAATTTGTAACATACATTCATTTAATGATAATTATGAAATACTGATAACATTACCTTATATACATACATACATTTGTGCGTTATTCATATTCACATATATGCATATTCATTTGCATATATATATATATATATATGTATATATATAGATGATAACGCTTATGAAAAATTATTTTATGTAATTATATGTATTGCTTTTTTTTTTTTTTTTTTTTTTTTTTTTTGTCTTTTTATGCAAATTAATTAGCGTTGAATTTCTATTCATTTATGTAGGTTTTCGGCTGACACTGTCACTCGATTCAATTTGCTTTGTTAAGTAATTAAGAATCATTTGAAAATTTTTGGCTTTTTTTTTTATTTACTGATTTTTATTATATTTTAATTTATTAATTTCAAAATAAATTAAGAAATTTTCTCTCTAGATGGGACATGAACAAAAAAAAACGACATATATATTTATATAGGGAAAGTAAAGATGGAAAAAATCTTCTTTTTTTTTTTTTTTCTTGTTCTCTTATAACGTGAAAAAAGATGGAAAAAATCCAAATTTATTTTTTTTTTTTTAATTTAAGCATATAATTTAAATAAAAGATATGCTTAAAACAGGATACTTAATCCTGAATAAAAGATACGATACGATATGGACATGGATAGATAGATGATGTCAACCACAACAACAACAACAAAGATAATGCATTTACATGATACTTAAGAAAAAAAGTTAATTTTATTACTTCACAAGACTGTACAACTTGAAAACTTTTACACCATTTTCCTCAAAGTTTAGATACAAGCATGTAAGAAAATTATATTCGATCTTGGCCGAATATTTTATACTGGTTATCGCCGTTACTCGAAAGAAGACTAAAAAAGAGGAAAAGAACTAAATTTTCATATGATGATCTATGATTTCTTCTATTTCCTGCATAAGTTTAGTGGTGTATGTGTTGTAGTTTAGTTGAGTAAGAAGTAAAAAATCAAATACGGAAAGCAAAGTTGTTCACAGTTGTTCTTACATAGGCACGTGGGGTGTTGTAGACGCCACTGTCCTTTGACTGATTTAATTCACTCTCAAATTCCTTTGCAAATTTGTGGATGATATCCTATTGAATGTTTATCATATATATACAACACAGTTGGGCAAACGCGCAGACGAATAGACGGACATGCTTAGGACGTGCATGCCGAAGCTGACACTAGTCAAGAATATATAAATTTTTGGGGGCTTTTTAAAGCTTGCTTCTGCGCATCTGTCATAAGGTATTGAAAACAAACTTAAACTTGGTAGGCGTGGGCGGTTTTTTCCATTTTTGTACAGGTATTCCAGCATCAGCCACAGAATACACATTGATAGTTTTTGAGTGATGTGCAAACGAACAACTTTTCATTCCTTTCAAAAACCCGTGGGTTATGGAGGTTGTTCTTAACTCACGTAATCCTTCGACCGATTTTGTCCGTTTTCCGTAAATGATCCGCGTGCACGGACTTTCATTGTTTCTGACAAATTTGTGGCAGATAGCTTCCGCATACATCACACAGATAGCCAGATGTTCAAGAATATGTAGACTTTGTGAAGCTCCTCTGAAACTTCCTTCTGGCTGTTGCAAACGTATTGACAAAATGAATATACCCCCCATCTTTCGGTAATGGGTATAATAAAATATATATTAAATAAGTCGCACAGAATTAAAGAGTTTGCAGAAGTAATTCAAGCAACAACATTGCTGCCATTTACCAGAATAGTTTGTCTAAAGAGCCAGTCAAGGCCATCGCGCTTGTGATTTATCATATGTTTTGCATTAGACATAACTTTCATAATAATTTGTTTTTTTTTTTCCTTTTAATGAAGCGAAATATTATCGATTTTAAGAGTTGCTCGGAATGTATTGCGATACATTAGACGGCAGAGTATTATATAATAGAAATTGTTCACCAAGTACAGTACACGCTTTTGGAGATTTTTGGGTAAGGATAAGTTTAAAAACAACCATCCATGCAAATCGGTTCACTTTTATGTTTGGCGATAAGCAAGTCTTCATAGGGGCGCTCGCTTACTTACAATCGTATTAGTTTTCAATAAAATAAAGTCGCACTCTGGGAATACGCGTCAATAGTTTGCCGGTAAATTAACTTAAATATCCGCTCAAGTCTTCGCCAGTTAATTAATTGATGTATCGTATTATTAAAGCATTCTTAGGCCTAAGTTAGGCGGACTTCTTTAAGTGGCAGAAGCTATGGTCGTATTAAGCCGTACTCAACGAACCATCAAAGGCGAGTAGTAAGCGTTGATTAGCTACAAAATGTGTACACGTTACAGAGAGACTGAGTTGCAGTACTTCCCACGACATCAAGTGATAAGTCGTGGATTAATGCTAAGAAGGCGAACAATAAAAGGTAATCGATAGCCGGCAATGCCATAAAACCCAGTTAAGTGTAACATAAAATATTTGCGGCCGATTTTTTAAAGCAAGCGAACCCATTTCCGTAGAAGACAGGTAAAGCAAAGGCAATGGCTAATCTTGTTTGGAATGCGAGCAATTGTTTGTGTGAAGGCTTTAGAGAAGATGAAATGCGTGAAACTGCACAGGTCAGTCAGCTGCTCTCCATAGCTGCACATAGGATCAGAAGTCCTGAGCTGTTTTGAATGAGAGACTATCGCACAGGAAGAAGAAGTTGCGTCACAATGATTTTCCAAATCAGAAGATGTGCTTGAAATAGCAGACTTGTTACAGGGGCAGGCAATGTTGTTAAAATTTATCGCAACAGAAGCGCTAATGCTTAGCATGAGTCACCGAATAGGTAAGAATCGCGCTTGCAAACAATCTCATATGCGACAAAAAGAGATTTTTTGGTTGGCAGCTATAGTGAGTCGGCCTAGCCGGTGAAGGCCATAACACTTACCGATTACGCATTGACCCACCCACCAAGCTGCCGCAATTCCCTCTAGCTCGTCCTCTTGAGCAGAGACACCGAAGGGGACTGCTCCTTCGATTGGTGGCTGGCTATCTTTTACTATCTTATCTTAGTATCTATAACAACAATAAAAATAATATAAAACAATTTTCAAATATAAACAGAAAAGATTGCAAAGGTAAAAACTTTGTTGTCGTTGTTGTTTAGTTGATTTCAATGCACATGTATTGAGCCAATTTGCAACAATTCAAATAGAATTCAAATCATTTTGGAACACCCATCCATTGGTAGATTTGCCCTTCTCGTTTTTTACCTAAATCGCTCAGTCGATGAATTCGTATGATTGCCTTTGAAGAATTGCAAAGAAAAACTGAGAATTTGTAACGAATGCGTTTTAAAGAAGAAGCTTGAATTTATGCCGCCATTAAGTTTAGAATTTCTCACTATTTTCAAAGATTTTCATTACTTTTCTTTTTTTCCTAATATTTTTGTTTTATTTTCATTTTCATTTTCATTTTTTTTTTTTCTCTTTTAGTTTTCAATTCAAGCAGAAAAGTGAAAAGAAAAACATATGCAAAAAATAAATTATAAATAATTATCATCCGAATGAATGGAAACGTCAAGGCCAAGGACACTTTTAAATACGTTAGTAGATGTGTAAAAATACATGAATTCGTATTCATATTCATATTCATACATATATATACATATATATATATATATGTACATATATCTATATGAAAGGTCATGAAGGTTTTTTAACATTCAACACATTTACCCACGAGAAAACATACTTTTTTTTTTTTAGTTTTTTTTTTTTTTTTTTTTTTTTTGTTCTTTTGTTTTTATTTGTATTTATTTATTTATTTATTTTTTTTTCATTTTAATTTAGTAAAAAACATTTCCGTTTCCGTTTAACTTGCTTCCAATAGAGAGAAAGATTCGTTTTTTTTTTTTTTGTTTTTTTTTTTTTTCTTGCAATATTGCTTAAAGAAATATAAGCAAAAATTAATATCATTTTCTATTAATAATATAACATAGTATCATAAGAAATTGTGTGTGTTTTAGTAAAATCTATCGGCCAACGCCGATCAATTATATGAAAATGATGAAAAGTTTGCGATAGAAAATAAGAAGAAGAAGAAAAAAAACATAAATATAAAAATATATATAAAATTGATTTTGTTGATTTAAATTTAAATGTATATATATATATATATATATTAATTGGTTTGTAGGTAAACTTTCGCTACATATATATACATATATATATATATATATATATATATATATATATGTAGCTGGTCTCCTTTAGTAGTTTAAGTCAGATAAATGAAGGAATTTATGTTTGTAGAGGTACGTTGTTCTCCGTCTCTTTTAATATGGGTGCCGTCCAGACGCCGCTACCCGAACGTGTTTTACGAGTCTGTACAATACCATCCATTATATCCAATTGTAAATTATGTATACTTCCACGGGGATCAGTTAAAGGTGGACCTTGGAAACCACTACCACGACGACTGCCACTAATTGAGAAAGTCGGAACGCAAAGGAAAGAAAAAAGGCATTAAAGGACATCGATGTATTCTCATCAGATACAAGATTACATACTAAATATGCATCGTGAAGACTAACACTATTGCAGAATTATTCGATATTGTTTTCATTTTATTTTCAATACTTAAAAGTGTATATCAATATTTACGTAAGACGGAAGTACGGCAATTTAAACGTTTTTATCGTCCGTACCTTTATATGTCGTTATGCGTTCAGTTTTAAGGAATAGCGTAACAGGCTGTAAAAAAGTCTTCTTATTGAATCTATTATATCTAAAAACCAGTAAAAACATTGTAGTGGGACTCGGCCCACCATTGAGCACCCTACGTAGATAGATATTCGCCTAATAAATTTATCCATACAAAGTTTCTTCAAAATATATATAGAACTGGTTGGGCAAGTGGTTCGCTCCGGACCATTCGTTGGGCCAAAACATGACGGTGCGTGTGCCAAATGCCATCAAAATGTCTCAATAACTGCACTGATGGTTGAACATTAGAAAATAAAGTGGAGAGATGGACAGACAAGTTTCGATCGCTATAATAAAATGGGAGCGTATCTCAAGGCCTTGTGCTCTATATATATATGCCCTTGTACCACAAGGCAAAATTTATGCACAAGTTTGCTTATAATTACAACAAAACTCTCTTGATCTCTTCAATTAAGCAAAATTAAGTTTATTATTGTTCAATATATCCTGTTGCCTGATTCTAGGGATAAGAAGAACAGCACAATAAGATAGAATTAATTTTCAGGAGCTGGTGAAATTTCGCAAAAATATTAGTCGGCCTTCTTAGGTTTTATGCTCGAGCTCTTTTAAGGCAAAGTTTCTTTTCTTCCGTGCATATGTGTGTATACGTTATTATATATGAAATTATTATATATATTATATACATTATTAATATATTCACAATGCTTACCTGTATGTAGCACCAGATATAGATTCGCGACGACTGCGTCCGAAGAGCGTTGGTTGTGCGGCGGAGATCGTAACCACCGAGTGCCTGCGCGTACTGCCCGCCACATTAGATCGCTGCGTTAATGTAGTCAGAAATTTAACTTCGTGCGGACTTAAAGTGCCTGTGGTTTCTCCACCCACATCCGATAAACGTCGCACTTGACTGGCCGTAATACCTTCGGTTATTTGCAGCGAAGGCAGCGAATTCTTACGACGTTTCTGCATATCCGGAAATGGGCATAACAAATATGGATTTTTTGGTGATTCCGAGTCATCGCTGTTTGATCTGAATTTCACATGTGCAGCGGCTCCCGATAAATCAACGCGATCGGCTGCGCCCTCGTCCACATTAGCATCGCCATCAATTGCATGCGTTTCCTCGACCACAATGACAGGTTCCTGCGTATTCAAGCTGAAGACCGGAGTAAACGAAGAACGACGCATCTTTTTTTTTTATTTTTCGTTTTCCGTTAATCTCCTATAGATATCCGGTAAAATTTTATTTGCTTCGTCTTTATGCTGAGCTGTCTTTCAAATGTTTCGTTATTAAATCTTTTCCTTTTTATGATTGAAAAATTATGAAATGAAACGAATTATGATCAAAGGCCTCCTTTAATGTGTTTCGTTTTTTTTTTTGTTGCTGTAAATAAAGTGAAAACAAACAAGTGAAAAAGTTACATTCGCCGCAAAGTGTATGTAGTCTTGATATTCATAAAGCATTATACTGGAGTAGTAAAATATATTGTTTGTGACCCGCGGCTAAAAGATGACCCATTGGCTGAAAGAGAGTAAAGTTGGTAGCTGCCGAGTATCCACTCGCCGTAACAAGTAGCGGGCTTACAATGGCAAATTTTACGATCGTAAAATCGAATGTCGGTTAATATATTCAAGCTATGAGCGAATTTACTCGATATTGATTGCTATGAATCAATCTTATTACCGCTTGTAAGCTAATAATTAGATATTCCTATCAATTCAAGTTATGAGTGAGTTGTAGTCAGGTGGAATCCGATATTTCGCACATCTATATTTTCAATAGTATAAGCAAATAGTTGCGCTTCTAAGCTTATATTAAGATTTAAGGGTCCAGTCATGGTTTCTATTTTAACTATGGGCAGGGCATGTTCCTTTTCAAAATTGTTGTGAAGCTATTAATTGGAATATATATGGGGCAAACATTAGCCTTTTAACTTCGTTTTAGGTTAGCCAGAGCATTTTTATCGAAGAAGATGGAGAGATATACAGACGAAAGGATGGACGGATAGATATAGATCGGATCGCGAACGCACAGATAAGCCTAAATCGATTCTGAAAGTGATTCGGACCCAATCGATAAAATAATAGACGCATCTATTTCAGTTAGTACCTCCTGCAGGTACTGCACACATCAAATATATTGTGCACCATCAATGGTGTAGGTTATAAAAGCGAGTAATTAAATGCATTTTATTTAATTAAAAACGCAATGCTTGAACCAACTGTGGCTTTACTTTGGAGAAAGAGCAAGCAGCTCCTTGCGCTGCGCTTATAATTCGCTAAAGCAAAATTATCAATAGCATCAAAATTGAACTTTGAACAGACAAAAAATGAAAGGAAAAAAATTAATTAAAATAAAATCGATTTACTTCTAATTTTTCTTAAGCAACTGTTTAAGGTAAATGCAACGCACTCTGCTTCAACCGGATGTCATTGATTTTCTAATATGATTAAGCAAAAGGTTTAACTTGCTCTTTATGCGTTGATTGCAACTGACATAATGTTATGCATTACAGACACCATACTAGAGACAGAGGACGTGCTACGATAAAGATAACTCGAACTGAATGCCTTAAGCCAGTTATCAAAAAGATGGATACATATATATATAGTGCAGGCAGAGAGAAACGATTTCTTATGATTATTAATGTATTATTTTTTACCTAAAGATGAAAGTTTCTCGAAGCATTTGATTTTGATTCTCTATTACTCTTCTAGGCTTTATTCGGAGATAATTTGGACAATTTTATCTTCTCTCAATGACGAATGTGTACGATTTCTGCTTTTTATTTTTTTTTATTTATTTATTTCATTTTTTTTTTTGACGGATTTCTAGATGAGATTCTTCAAATTGAGCGGTTTTTTTTTTTTTTTTAAAACAAATACTACAAATGGTCCAGAAAGGTGCATTTTGGCAAATGAAGATGCGCACTTGCTATTGTCTGTTATATGTGCGTAGCCAAGATCTTTTTCTAATTAATCAGCATTAAATGGAACCTTGCGTACAGCAAAAGCAAGCTGCGTTAGAAACACCATTGCGATAATGAAGCTACGTGATTACGTAGAGAGAGAGAGAAAATGAGAGAGAGAGAGAGAGTAAGTAGTTAATTAGGGAAAAAATATATATGTAACTCTTCGGTTATTCTTTCCAATCTTGTTTAAGTTCCTTAACCATTATACGAATGCCATATGTGCGAAGCTTTCCAACTCTTAAACTGAAGCGTCTCTCTCTCTCTCAACTTGCTTCACGTTTATGAAGTATATAAAATTTGTTGGCCGATTGCAAATTTGGAATGTATCTGAGCTTGTCCGTCTGTCCATTTGACTGTCGGCCTGATCGCGTAGTATCTATCAAGAGAAGTATATATGCAAGAGAATTTGAAAGTGATCGGAAACTTTTCAAAGGACACGCCTACCATACCCAAAGGCCTATGCGAGAAAAATGTCTATTTTAAAAATAGAAAAAAACAACTACGCCCATTCCATATTATAGAGCATGAAATTGTAGTTCTTTTTTTTTTAACTTTTTTGTCATTTTTTAGGATAACAGTGTTGGGTATAAAAAAAGGCGAGGGGCGTTATTAGCTAAAATTATCGGCTCTATTTTTAGGAAAGACTGCATACCTAGTTGAGTCCTCTTAATAAAGTTGAATAAGTTATTGATTTTGTGTTCTATAAGCACTTATATGATTTTATGCTGAATATAAATCTTCGAACTATGGATAGGTTCCAAGGATCACAAAGCACGAGTTCAATTTTAAAATATTGCCTACAATTGCAGGCTGGAGTAGTGGATTTCTTAATGATCAATTGGTTTCCTGCAATTGCGTAAACGCGGCATAGCTTTCATAAGACGACCATCAGACAGACAGGCTATAGATCTCTTATCTTGTAAGATCTATATAACATAGATTAATAGAATTTTGTGCCAAACGAATACGAACAAATTGACATAAGGTAGGAGAAGAGGTGTCATAAGGATTTCGTTTAGCTGACTTTAGCAGGCTTTAGAAACAAAGTTAAAATTACCTAATAAATTTTGGACATTTATTCGCTACGCCCTGGAATGTATGTAATATGCAAATAAAAGCGTCACTAAGTTTTCAATAGTGGTTTTGCTTTTCTTTTTTTTTTTTTTTGTTGAGGCTAATATTTTGTAATATTTTTTTAAAACACATGCAAACAGTTTTAACTCGTACCACACAGAAGCGGTCTCTTGTGTGCAATAGAAGCCCTGCTATTTGATGATTACAAAACATACATTTTAACATTTTCACATCCGTTAACCGGAAAATCAAACATGAAAGAACAAATGTAAAGATGAGATGATAATGATGATGATGATGATAATGATAATAATGATGATGATGTTTAACTAACACAAGGACAGACAATGTCATCTCTTGTTTTTTTTTTTTTTTTTTGTTTTCTTCTTTTCTCTTCTTTTTAAAACAATTTGCTAAGCGAGCGTATCGCAAACAAATGCCTTTGTTATACAATTCTCTATAGGAGTTCTTCATGCCTTCATTTTTATTTGACAATCTAGCAAGCATTAAAGTTAATCTTTCGCGGCATGCTTACAATGCAAACGTCACGCATTGATTGAATCAGTTTATAGAAGAAATCTTCTAAGATTAGAATAAGAAATTTTTACATTTATTTCAGTTTTTTAAGGAAAATATCAATCACACAAACACAAATCTATTTAGTGATTATGTTCAGATTATGTTAAATGTTTACAGATAGATAGATGGAAAGTAATCATGACAACTGCAGGATTCTACTTTAAAATGCAGACAATCAAGTCAAGCAAGTCGTAAAAATTAACAAACACTTATAGATTATTGGATTTGCGAGACCGAGAGAGACCCGAAATCCGTTCCTGATATGGTAAATTGACATATAAATAGAAATGTCATGGCATTATCTCAAAATAAGCAAATGTGTACCCCTATGCATATAGATAATCAATTGGTAATAACTCCCATGATTAAGTAAAGAAAAATATTTTGTTTTGCAAAATTCCCTTCAGTTCCCCCGTTTCATTGGGCGCCCAACAACTGCAAAATGGGATCAACTATTTTGTATTTGCTTTGCAAGACCTCAACTTGTGATGCATTGTTTTTGTTTCATTGTGGGTAGGTAAAGGCCGACACTCATTTGTTTGTTCAAAATCAGTTAAATCTCGAAAAATTGTCCTTTTCGACGCGAGAAGATTTCTCCTAACGCTTTGCAAGCCCACTAATGAGTTTGAATGGTTTGACTGGATTTTCTCTCCATCAAAAAGCGAGGTTTACTCAAAGCGTAAAATTCGACATATTTCGTTTTTTCAAACATGACAAACGTGACATTACTAACACTATTGCATATCGGTAGACTGACGAAACGAACGAAATGATATGAATTTTGGGTATACGTCGCAGAGATCTAATATCGATCTTTTTATTGCAGGCGACATTTCTGACTCAATCCAGAGAATTATTGATCGAGATTCTACATACATACAGTATTGATGATAAATGTTAGTATTAGATTATATATATATATTTATATATATATATATATATATATGTATGTATATGTATATATATATATATATATATATATATAT